AGATCCCGCCACTGCACTCCAGCCTGGGCAACAGAGCAAGACTCCGTCTCAAAAAAAAAAAAAAAAAAGAAAAGAAAAGAAAGGGATGATGGAGACAGGCAGAGTGAGAATGGTGAATAGCAGGGGCTGCCTGCAGGAGGTATCAGCAGCTGAAGGGGCTGAGAGGGTGATAACACTGGGGCGCAGCCTAGATTTGGGACTCTGTCTTGAGCAAGCAGAGTAAAAGAGGTATGCCTGGGAAGAGGAGCCTGACATCGATCATTAGAGCCCAATGAATGAAGAACTAGTCCAGATTGAAGGAAAATTTAAAAGCATGATAATTAAATGAAATATATGATTCTGCACTGTATCCCTCTGCCATAAAGAACATTATTAGGACGATGGGCAACATCTTGAATGGACTCCGAGGATTATATGGTGGTAATGTATTAGTATTCATTTCTTGACTTTGAGAGTGATGGTGATGTAGCTGAATGTCCTGATAGTAGCAAATACGTATTAATGCATTTTGGGATACAGACTATCATGTAAGCAACTTGCTCTCATATTTTTTTGAGAAAAAAAAAGATCTTGACATTCAAGCTGAGTATGGTAATGTGTGCCTGTAGTCCCAGCTACTCAGGAGGCCAAGCTGGGAGGAGTGCTTGCACCCAGGAGTTTGAGGCCAGACTGGGTAATACACCGATACCCATCTCTAATTAAAAAAAAAAAACAAAAAACTTGACATTCAACTTGCAACTTTTCTGTAACTCTGACATTGTTTAAAAAAGTTCTTTCAAAAAAACATTAAGATACTCCTTTAATGAAGATACCTACCTGTGTACTACCTATCTATATGGAGGAAAGCATTAAATGATTCTAGGCGTCAGAGTATAAATAAAAACCCAACGCCCTTAGTTCACACTGGACCACATAAAAAATGATTTTTAAAGTTTTTGCTGTGCCCTGTTGGTAGTGCCCACAAAATGGCTAGCTACTGGCCATAACTATTATTTACCCAAAAGTTTTAATTACCCCAGAATTTTTTTTTGTAAAAATAGTTAATATATACATGCAAGGCAGCAAAGGTTTGTAGTAAAACCAAAAAGTTTTAAACTTACCTGCCCAAGATTCTACTATAGAATAGCACACGACAATGTTCTGAGACTATTCAAATCATTTTCATTAATACATTTTTAAAGCTGCTATATTTTAGAAATAAGGGGCTTAATCTGGGAAAAATGAATGCACAAGCATAATACATACTATTCCAAAATGCAAACACAAATAAACAAAAGTTATCTTTCCTAAAACAGGCAGCAAATGAAATAGAAATTCTGTAAAAGCATGTATTTCAGTAATACATCTGAAATTAACTTTGTAATTTATAAATTTAAAAGTTTGAAAGCAAACTTGTTTATATAGGCAATCTCAGATTTATGAATAGCTTATGTCCTAAATATCTGTAAGTCAGTTGAAAAGTACATCATAAAGAGTAAGAAACATGAAGGATACAATGAAAAAGACTAACATAGGTTTAACAGGCATGCAAAAAGGACTAAAGCTACACAACAGCAGAGGCAGTTTCAAATAGTTAAGTGAGATTTTGTCCAAACTGATGAAACATACCAACAACGTAAAGAAGCTCAGCAAACTCCAAGCAGCATAAATAAACTCTACACCTAATTATACCACGCTAAAATTTTAGAAAACCAAAGGCAAAAAGGAATAAAAAGATTACACTCATAGTGGTGACACACTGGCAAATTATTTACAATATTTGTAATAAAATAATAGAAGCCAAAAATATTGGAATTATATCTTCGATATTCAACAAGACAAAATTAAAAATGCAGAATTAAGAAACATCTTCAATAATGAGGCAAAATAAAGCCACCTTCAGATAAACAAAAAGAGCAAGAAGTTTGATATCAGCATAACACACTAAAAGAAATTCTAGGGCTTATATTTCAAGCAGAAGGAAAAGTATCCCGGATGCAAGGCATAAGATACAAAAGTAGTCATAGAAACATGTAGGTAAATCTAAGTAAGTATTAAATCTATAAAATATCTTGCTAAAAAAAAAAGAATTACAATATATAACAATAGCACATAGGTTAGGGAAAAAAGAGTTTAACTGTTCTAAAGTCCTTGTATTGTCTGAGAAAAGCACAAAACTATTAAGTTTAGTTTTTAATAAGTACGATTAATAAAATTTTTAGGGGTAAATTCTAAAAAATCAGAAAAAGGATGTATAACTTTAATTCAAACAAGGAAAAATTGCCTTAAAAGGCAAGAAAAAAATAACCAGGGAATAGGTGAGACAAATAGAAAACATAGGTTATCATAGACTTAAACCCAAATATACAGCTATTTGATATTAAATACAAAAGGACTAAAAGCTTCAGTAAAAAAAAGAATGTCAAATTAGAGAAAAATTAAAATCCAATATAATGCTGTTTGAAGAGGCATGTTTGTAACATAAAAATAAGTACAGTACAGTTTGAGGTAAAAGAAGAAAATAGAATTAAACAGTTACATGAATCAAATAACAAAGGTTCAAATTATATACAGCAAAAATAGATGTAACTATGGGTCAAAAAATCCACAATCACAGAATGAGATTTTATCACACCTCTTGTAGTAATATAGAGTATATAGACTACAATTATTACTCCTAACAAATAATTAACAAATATGGAACACATTGGTGAATAAAACTGACTAATCTGTTACAAGAATGAGAATTAAAAAACAGAGATGGTACAGAAAGCAAGTATCAGGAATAGAAAAGAGGGAACAATGTTACAGGGGCTGCAGAAAATTAATAGATATAAGGACATTATAGAAAATTTAATGCCTATAAATCTCAAAGTTTAGATCAAATGGGTAGGTATCTATAAAAACATAACTTATTGAAACTGACCCAAGAAATAGAAAAGTGAAGAACCCTGTAACTATTAAAAATAATTAAATCAGTCTAAGAGATAAATACGTATTATTATACAATGAGATACTATAAGTAACGAAAAGCATACATACTGAATGATGAACCAAAAGCAAATTACCAAGACAACATGATTCCATACCAAAGTTCAAATTAGGCAAAATTATATTATTTAGGGAAGCACACAAAGATGGTATTAATAAAACCATAAAGAAAAACAAGGAAGTATATACCATAAAAATGGAGACATATGTACACCTAGGGTAACTGAGGGAAAGGAGTGGTAGTAATGTTCTGTTTCTTGATATGTTCTATTTCTTGAGACAGGGTCTTGCTCTGTAGCCCAGGCTGGAGAACAGTGGCACAATCATACCTTGCTGCAGCCTTGAACTTCAGGGGTCAGGCAATCCTCCTACCTCAGTATCCTGGGTAGCTGGGATTACATGCACGCATGACCATGGCCAGCTAATTTTTTTTTTTATTTTTGTAGAGATAGGGTCTCACTATGTTACCCAGGCAGGTCTCAAACTCCTTGGCTCAAGTGATCCTCCCATCTCATCCTCCCAAAGAATTAGGATTACAGGCAAGAGCCACCACACCTAGCTTCCTAATTATTTTTTAAACTATATATTTACATTTCATGAACTTTTCCATATTTTTAACATAATTTCTCATTGTGAAACAAAAAAATATTGGTATAACATTATCAACCTTATCAGTACAGAGCCATAATCCTTACAACAGTAAGTATAATTAGGATATTTACCACATATTTTTATTTATTTGCTTGGAGAAAATGAACAAAAGTCAATAACCCAAATCATATTTCCAAACTGCCTTACCAGCACTGCTCCATATTTTTCATCACGAGTAAAATAACCTGGGAGAGTGGCAAGTGCTCATGCTAAGTTTTACCAATCTTCTTAATGACCTAACCCCCTTCTTCAGTTTCCTATATCTTTATTTATTTAAACTATAACTACCACTACCATCCAAAGAGAAAAAGGTTAAGGAACCCTACTTTCTCTTTCTTACATTCTCTGCTTCCTACTAACAGAAAGGCTGGCTTCCTTGATTTCAAATTTCAAAATAAGTCAGGTATTTAATTTCCAGCTAGAAAGTGGTGAAGTCATAAATTCCAAGTCAAAAACAAGGATTGAGCATACCCGAGACCTTTCTTTTCCCACTAAAGCCTTGCAAACAAATCTCAGCGTAGAGAAAGCAAAATAAGCTTTTCTCCTTTGGGGAAGAGGGGCATATATATTTGAAAGAACCAACAGAATCACTCATGTCTCCATTATTTAAGCCAATATTCACTTGAGGGGAACATACTATAATTAGAAATATAGGCAGAATATATGTAATAAGTAAAATATATACTATACTTACCATTTCCATTAATAGACAGATTATGGGTCTTGAAACTATCCTCAGCACTTTCCAAGGTTAGGGTAGTGTGAGCTAGCAAATTATACTTTACACCACTAATAGTAAGAAAGAAGACATGTTTTAAGTATTTTTGTATTTCTACTACTACACAAAATATTTGTATGTTCAACAACAAATAATAACCTGATTTAAAGATAAGCAAAGGACTTGAATAGACCTTTCCTCAAAGAGAGAACAAGATCCAGCATTACATTCTGATGCACTACATTTCTCTAAAGACAGAAATGTCTATTTCTCTTTTGTTGACAAATGATCAACAAAACATAAAAAGATGCTCAGTATCATTAGTCACTGGGGAAATGGAAATCAAAACCACAATGAGATATCACTTCATATTCATTAAGATTAGTAAAACAAACAAAAAAAAAACAGCAACACGTTAGCTGGTATGTGGATAAACTAGAACCTTTGTACATTGCTGGTGGGAATGTAAAATGATACAACCTCCGTGGAAAACATTTTGGTGGTTCCTCAAAAAATAAGAAATAAAATTACTGATCCAGCAATTCTACTCTGATACACACCCAAAAGAACTGAGAGCAGAGACTCAGATATTTATACACCCATGTTCACAGCAACATTATTCACAATAGCCTAAAGGTAGAAGAAATCCAAGTGTCTATCCAGGGATGAAGGAATCAGCAAAATGTGGGGTGTGTGTTTGTGTGTGTGTATATACACATACATATACATAATGGAATATTATTCAGCCTTAAAAAAGAAGAAAATTCTGACATACTACAACATGGATGAATCTTGAAGACATTACGCTAAGTGAAATAAGCCAGTCACAGAAGGACAAACACTATATGATTTCACTTATAGGAGGTACCTAGCGTAGTGAAATTCATAGAGATGGAATCTAGAATGGTGGCTGCCAGGAGGAAAGAATAAGGAAATTAGTGTAGGGTAGGTGCAGAATTTCAGCATGAGCAGATGAAAAACTTCTGGAGATGGAGGGCAGTGATGGTTGTACAATGTGAATATACTAAATGCCTCTGAATGTATACTCAAGAATGCTTTACCACAAAAAAAATTTAGATAGTACAGATGACATTTTTTGATGATACAAGTTATTGATTTAGCAAGTTTATCTCTATATTTTGTCAATAAAAACCTGCAAATTATTTGTTTTAATTCACACAAATGTTTCTCTGAAGGGTCCCCGTTCATTTTTTTTTTTTTTTTTGACTCACTGCAAGCTCTGCCTCCCAGGTTCACGCCATTCTCCTGCCTCAGCCTCCCAAGTAGCTGGGACTACAGGCGCCCGCCACCATGCCCGGCTAATTTTTTGTATTTTTAGTAGAGACTGGGTTTCACCCTGTTAGCCAGGATGGTCTTGATCTCCTGACCTCGTGATCTGCCCGCCTCAGCCTCCCAAGTGCTGGGATTACAGGCGTGAGCCATCGGGGTCCCCATTCATTTAATAAATATTTACTGAACACTTAAAATGTGCCAAGTCCAATGCTAGGTGATGGGCAGTCAATGGTAAACAAGATCCAGCATTACATTCTGATGCAGCCAGAATGAAAAAAAAGGTAGGCATAGGAATAAACCAAATACCAGCATTTGCAAGTTGGAATGCAACTTTTTCTATGAAAGAAACAAAGGAGATGAGAAAACTGAGGACCTGTGGTAGGTAGGTGAACTGGGGAAGGATTTTCTGAGGAGGTAACAGTTATCCAGTCATAAAAGAATCTAGCCAAGCAAAGAATGCAGGAAAATATTCCAAGCAGAGTGAGTATGTGCAAAGGGAGGGCTGAAGGAAAACCAGTGTGGCTGGTGCACAACAGGCAAGCAGCAAGCATGGTGCAATGCAAGGCTGGAAATACAGGGAGTGATGAGCTCACCTGGAGGCTCTGTGAGCCCTGGAAGAGGGGTGGATTTAATTCTTAGCAGGAAAGTTGATAAAAAGTGGAATGATAGGGTCTGATTTACATTAATTTCCCAGGGACAAAGGCTGTCTTCTTGACCAAACTCCAGCCACACTCCTCTGAGTCCGTTTCTCAACTAGGCCTCAACCTGGCCCTCTAAGGACCTGAACAAACACTAGCATTGTTTTTTGCAGCTCAAAGTTGCATCCCTAAGATGTCTTCTTAAAGTGCCTGCCTGAGAAAACTCAAGGCTGACAAAAGAACTTATTGTTTGTTCCAGCCAAGAGCTGAAAACAGTGCCTTTGTCTTTCAGTCTCTGTGGGAGGGTAGGAGACTAATTTTGATAAATACCAGCTAGAACACCCAGGTGGGTTCCACATGAACCAATCCCCCCTTCCCACTATCTGGAACTTTTCACTTAGCTAACTCTGAGCCTGACTCAACCTCTTCCAATTTCCTCATTCTCCCTTCAAAATGCCCAGTCGCCTCTACACAAATCAAAGTTGAGTGCAGTTCATGTGTGACTCTTCTTACTGTAATAGCATATTACTGATTCAAATCTGTCCTTACCACTTTAATTAGCATCCAGCTTTGTTTATTTTTCACAGAATGAATCTCCTTCTTCTGGTTATCTACCTCAGGGTTTTATCTATAGTGTGAGGACATGGAGGACTTCATTACACTCATTCCATTTTTTTCCATTATAGTTCCCTTTGTGGTACTTATGTTAAAATAGCACTCTTACCAAAACACCTAGAATTTCTCATGATAAATTTCATACTCTGGCACTTCGTGGTGATAAGAAGTGAATTTATGTTCAGTAACAACTGTATTTTCTTTTTTTTTTTTTTTTTTTTTTGAGACTCTGTCACCCAGGCTGGAGTGCAGTGGCGCGATCTTGGCTCACTGCAAGCTCCGTCTCCCAGGTTCATGCCATTCTTCTGCCTCAGCTTCCTGAGTAGCTGGGACTACAGGCACCTGCCACCACACCTGCCTAATTTTTCGTATTTTTAGTAGAGATGGGGTTTCACCATGTTAGCCAGAATGGTCTCAATCTCCTGACCTCGTGATCCGCCCGCCTTGGCCTCCCAAAGTGCTGGGATTACAGGAGTGAGCCACCGCGCCCAGCAACAACTGTATTTTGTATGCTAGTAATCCTAATTTTTTTCATGATTTTCTTGATTTTATTTTATTTTTCAAATCAGTAAAATCTCAAAACATCAATGAGTATATTAAAAGAGAGAGAGAGATAAAGAGAGATATAGAAGACAGTGGTGTCTGATGGGAATTTATATTAATTGTGCTAGGTGTTAGGTTTCATAAACCTCCTTTGTTTCTTACTAAATCTTTAATAAGATCTCTGTATTACAAAGAAAAAATATGCATACACTTAGTAAGTATGCAATGTATGCATGCACTTCAATAAATAACAGCATACTCCATAGAATACTACTCCCTGGGAGAATGCCTCTTAGCTTTTACTATATAGTCATTACAGACCAAAGATAACTCTCTATACCCAGTGTTTTCGGTCAATGTTTATATAAGAAAATTTATGTTTCTGTCTCCATATTTCAACATAACATTTTAAACAAAATAATGCATGAGTATATTTTTGAGTTACAGTTCTGAACTGGTATAATGTCAGACTCACACTTAGGCTTTTCAAAAGTTCACTATGTATCAACAAATCTTTACTGCTGCTAGAACTAAGAGAGGGACAAGTGGCCATTCTCTGCTATTATTCACTTATTCTGAACAAGTTTCTACAGTGTCTTTCACAGTAAGCTTTTATTTTCCCCTATTGTTCACAAAATGAATCCCAAAAAAGTTGAAGTATTAAAACTGTGGAGAAAGAACCAAAGTAGGCTGGGCGTGGTGGCTCACGCCTATAATCCCAGAACTTTGGGAGGTTGAGGCAGGAGAATCGCTTGAACCTGGGAGGTGGAGTCTGCAGTGAGCCAAGATCGTGCCACTGCACCACAGCCTGAGTGACAGAAAGAGATCCTGTCTCAAAAATAAATAAATAAAAAGCAACCTAAGTAATTGAGAACAGCAACTACAATGGAAGAGCAAATGTGATTACACACGAACTGCCCACTAACGTTCATATTAGTTGTTTGGTTATCAGGGTTCAATATGTTAAGCATTATCCCAACATAATAATTTGTCCCTGATAAATGAGTTTTATGGAACTATATTTTAGAATACTAAACAGGAGTTTTAAATTGATAACACATTATAATGTTTCCCACTTAAAATAATGGGAAGTAGACGCACCGTGAGCACTTTAGGGCAGAATATGTTGTTTTCAAGAAAAGATTATTGACAATAAGTGGGGTTTGCCTGCATTTGCCAGGCACTGTTCCAGGTGTTAAAACTACAATAATCAACGAAATGGGGGAGGAGAATGTATAAATATGTAAACATACATTTATATATTTATCTACTTTTCCTGTCTTATACAGGAAGAAAAATAGATAGAAAAATATATATCAGGCCCATGAAGCTAAGTAAAGCATGGTGAAGGGATTAAGGTGAGGGGAGACTGCTATTTCAGATGGCCCAAGGAAAAGAAGGCCTATCTGCAAAAGTAACACTTGAGTGAAAATCTGTAAGGAAGAAAGGAGCCACAAGAAGAACAGAAGGAAGAGTATTTCAGGTAGAGGACAATACATATAAAGGCTAAGGTGAGTACATGCTAGGTGTGTTTGACAAACAAGGAGGACAGTGTGACTGGAGTAGTGAAGGAGGCAGAGTGATTTGAGATGTCCAAAAGGTAAGTAGGGGGCAGACAGACAGTCAATACCACAGTCCTGGTGGGGCATGGTAAGGAACAGTGGATTTGGAGCGAAATGTGCAGCAAATGGTAGGTTCCGAGCAGAGTCATGTACCATGATCTGACTTGTATCAAAATTAAATGATCCCTCTGGCTGCTGTGTGGAGAACAGACTACAGAGGCCAGGAGTGAAAAATGGAGACATCGACTAAAAGGCTACTGAAACTGACCAGGCAAGAGCTGTTGCAGGCCTGGAACAGAATGGTGGTGGTGGGGTGGTGAGAAGTGGTTCAGATTCCTGATACATTCTCTAAGTTTCAGTGCCAAGACAGGATGTGAAAGCAAGGAAAGAATTAAAGACATCTCCAAGGCTTCTGGTCCA